CCCTCAACTAACAGTGTATTATCATTGTACTCATCAATGAATGACTGGGATCCATTTTCTCCTACTGCACATGTGAGTTGTTTAGGCTACAGAGAAGGATCCACACTTTGTAATGGAAGTGAATTTTCCAACAGTACACTGGGGAAGCAGTGCCACCTGCAGCCGCACTGAGACTGTGTTCTATGAGGAAGATAATGTAACAGTGTCAACCATCATGGAAGAACCTATGGTAAAGGGAAGAGACAGTACACTGCAGGCCCACTGAAAGAAGATGACTAAGCAAACTTTTCTTAGACCTTTCTCTCCTAGTTACAAATACTTTCATTCAAATGCCCAATGAGAAAAGATAAAGCTATCTCCTTGAAAACACATCAAAATACACAAAAATGGCTTCGTACTGAAGTTTAGAGTCCTGGAGGTAGGTTACTTAATCAGAAGAGAGGGAGATGAACGATTGCACAGAAAAATATCCAGTGCTCCCTTATATTATGATTTCTAACTTCCTTGGTTTACCCCAAGTAAATGCCCAAGTGATGATTCAACACTAGATGCCTTCACACTCCACCAAGCATAAGTAAGGTTCAACTGATCCTCCCAGCAAAATCTCAGCTACTGAAACTATTTTTGAGGATTGTGGTTCCATTTTCAATTTACTTCCCAAGTACACAACTCTCTGAGGCAGATATAGAAATGACATACCATGCCAAAGGTATCTAAGGGTAACTGAAATTTCACCAGCATGAGAATATTTTGGCAGGCATGACTTCCTTTTGGATAACCAACAGTCTTGAAATGTAATGGTACAAACAAACAAATAAAAATTTAAAATGTAAGCATGACACACTTTTTCTGTTTGCAGAAAATCATTTATCCCCAGCTATAAATAAGGACTAATTAAATATATATACATATAGAAGGTTTGTTCCTACTGGGAACTATTGCTAAAAAGTAAATGGTTGAAAAGGATCCTAAAAGTGAAAATAAATTAATCAGTGGTTGAAAAGATGATAAAGATATTAAGAATCAGACTCTCTGAGGAAATTCTAATTTTCTGATATTCTTACTTCTTAGACATCTAACTCAAACTTCTTTCATCATAATCAATATATTTATCTTATAATTAATCATCTTTAGGCACAGTGCTAAAATCCTCACCTTGAATGCACCAGGATCCCATATGAGCACTGGTTCTAATCCCAGGAGCCCTACTTCCCATCCAGCTCCCTGCTTCTGGTGTGGGAAAGCAGTCGAGGACAGCCCAAAGCCTTGGGATCCTGCAGGTGAGACCCTGAGGAGGCCCTGGGCTCTTGGCTTTGGACAAACAGCTCCAGCCATTTCAGCTGATTGGGGAGTGAATCAAAGGATGGAAGATCTTCCTCTCTGTCTCTCCTTCTCTCTGTATATCTGACTTTGCAATAAAAATAAATAAATCTTTTAAAAAATCATCTTTCCAAAAGTAATATGCCGAGATTTAATGTGATCCCAATCAAAATTATAATAACAATCTTCACAGAGCTCAAAATGATGATAAAAATGTTCGTCTGGAAACACAAGAGACCACAAATAGCCAAAGCTGGAGGAATCACAAAGCCAGACCTCAAGACATACTTAAGGGCAGTGGTAATCAAAATAGTCTGGGGCCTGGCATGGTAGTCCAGTGGTTGGAGCCCTTGCTTTGCAGGTGCATGGATCCCATATGAATACTGGTCCATATCCCAGCTGCTCTACTTCCCATCCAGCTCCCTGCCTGTGACCTGGGAACGCAGGATGGTCCAAAGCCTTGGGATGCTTCACTGCATGAGAGATCCAGAGGAGGCTCCAGGTTCCTGGCTTCTGACCAGCTCAACTTTGGCTGTTGTGGCCAAAGTTCATATGCGGATGGAGGATCTCCCTCTGTGTCTTTCCTCTTCTCTGTGTATCTGCCTTTCCAATAAAAATAAATAAATCTTGAAAAAAAATCTTGTACTGGTACAGAAACAGCAGAATAATGGGCTTGTAACTATTGCTGAAGGACAACAGAAATAATATGTAACAGTATGAAGTAAAATGGAAGGGGGTATATACCGGGAGCAAGGAAGGGGACAATCCTTATACCTACAATACTGCTGCATTATGAAAAATAACAACAATTAAAAATATAAAAAGAAAAGTTTGTGGGTACTGTCAAATGTGAATATATATATTATCTTTCTTCCCTTGTATCATCTAATTTATTTATTTATATTTATTTATACTTATTCTCCACTTGTATCCTCTAATTTATTTATCCCTCCATTTATTTCCCTCCTCTGTGGGTGAATAAATTATGATCATGGGGGTTATTATGAACCATGAATTAACGTGAAATTAAAGCATCAACACATAAAGAGAACAGTTAATGTGCTATTATCTTAAATTGAGCTGGCAACCATATAGTATATATTAAAACCAGAAGACGCTGTAAATGGTGCGATTTGGCTGTTCCAAAGTGAAACAAACTTTCACCATTTTTTTAAAACACAGAAATGATAATTACAAGTATTACTCGTGGTTATTCATGATAACTCTAACACAACAACTTTGTCACAGGGCAACAAGATATCCCAAAAAACACAATGCAGAACGCACTATAACCTGGACTGGCTTCATTAGAATATGGTTTTTCACTCACATCTGGAGTGAACCACAAAAACAGCCCAGCAGAGAGCAAAACCCTTCGAGACTCACCTCAGTCATGCCTGAAGTATTTTACTGACCTTATTATCTGGTACACTGGAAAAATGGTGGGTATTTCTTAGCATTCAATGGCTTGTTCCTTGGACTTTTTTTTTTCTCTTTCCCCTTCCCTCTAGGCAATTTGTCTCTTAATGCCTTCAGTTCATTCTTCCTTTCTGCCAGCAAACAGGTGTAACCAGTGCATGCCAGTTGTGAGCCCAGTGATGCAATCCCTGATACAGGAAATCCTTTCCAGGATCTAGGAGAGGCTCAATTCAAAGAGCCCAGCAAGTGCCCTGCACCCCACAGACAGATTACTCTGGGCAGTGGTCTGCATTGAGAAAAACCAGAGGGCGATCAACTAGTGACCATTGTGCTCAGCGAAATAAGCCAATCCCAAAAGTACAAACACCCTATGTTCTCTCCAAGACAACTCTTATGCAAAAGATAAATCAATAGAAACATAGGTAAACATGTATATACATATCTAAAAAGAACAGTATAATGGAGGCAAGTATTGCAATGAAGTGGACACACATCACTACTCCCAAATAAGCGGATTCTCAATGAAATTGTTAAATATATCTTGACAACGGGATGCTGGACTTTCCGCGTTTGTCTGTCTATTCCTACAATGTCTTGATACAACTAAATAGCAGAATGATGGACTTTCGACTATTGTTGAGGGACTAAAACTATCCTTATACTACAGGAGAAGTCAGTGACGGGCAGTGTGGAAAGGGATATCCCTGAGCCTAAGAAATTGTATCATGAAAAATATAATACTTTGAAATGAAATAAAAGTAAATCTTAAAGAGATTAAAAAGTGAGAGAGGGAGAGACAAGGCTTTGATATTGACAGCTAGCAGTAGCTACTGTGACAGTGACAAATCGGTAACTTGCACAATGTATAGAATTTGTTCTGCTCATTCCTGAAACAGTAAATTGTTTTCCCCTTCCTACCTGATGAAGTCCCCTACGTGGATGAGGAAGAGAGCCTGAATTAAAGAGAACAGAAACAAATAAAAATATTGACTGGCTAGAAAAGGAACTTACCAAGGAAGATGATTGAAAGGGGGGGACGGACAGATTGCCTTGTAACTTTCAATAAGTCAAGAAATTTTCTTAAAGATGATTTTGGAACGTGCATTCTAAACACACAAGAAGTCCAACTAAAAGAAAAAGCAGAGTCCTTTCACCCCTCTTTCAACTGTTCAAAGGTTCACCCTCCTGACCTAACTTTGTCAGTGCTGCAAGAGGAGCTGTGTTGGGAGGTGCTCTTGGCATTTTTCTAGCTGGAGGGCCGGTCACAGCCTGTTGGGGGCTCTTTAAGGGTCCCCGCAGTCATTAACATGATAATGGAGTGTGAGGGACAAGAAAGCCATTGGTCTCTCAAAAGTCAGAACCCCAGGACTTTTGTTTCCCCTTAGGTTCACTCACTTGACACTAACAGCATTTGTGTCCACAAGCACCCAGCCTATGCGGCTTCGAGGGACAGAATGTGGCGCACACCGCTCCTGAGGCCTTGTCAGCAGACGCCCCTCGCCCGGAGCCCAGGAGCAGCAGCAGCTCCACAGAGAAGTGAGCAAGCAGGCAAACTGGGGCTCCAGGGCGCGTCCCGGGCCCTGCGGCCAAACCCCTCAGGATGCGGAAGGCTCCTGGTAAGACGTGACGCGCCTGAGGGGACCTCACCTCACTCCAAGAGCCACGGCTAGGCACCTAGGGGTCCACATCCGACGCCTTCTAGAAAACACCTGCCCCAGCTCCCCAGGGCAGCCGCACCACGCCACCGGGCCAGGGGCGGCCGGGAGGCCCCAGGGGCGAGCCCGGCCTGGGCCACCGCCAGCCTGCGGGGCTTGGAGCCGGCCGGGCAGGCGTGCGGGGCAGGGCGGGGCTTGGAGCCGGCCGGGCAGGCGTGCGGGGCAGGGCGGGGCTTGGAGCCGGCCGGGCAGGCGTGCGGGGCAGGGCGGGGCTTGGAGCCGCCTGCGCCGCGGGACCCGCCCCTCCGGCCGGCACCGCCTCCCGCAGCCCGGGGCGGGGCCGGGGCGGGGCGAGCCGGGGCGGAGCGGGGCGGGGCGAGCCGGGACGGAGCGGGGCGGGGCGAGGCGGGCGGAGCGGCGCGGGCCAGACGGCGGAGCTGGGCGGCGGGCGCGGGTCGCTGCGGCTGCCGACCACCGCACCCGGCCGCTGCCGGGGCAGACCTACCTGCGCCGCGGCTCGGCCGCGTCCCTCGGCGGGCGGGCGGGCTCCCGGCTCTCGGCTCTCGGCGTCCTCGTCGGCGGGGCGGGCGGCAGCGGCGCCCGGGCATGGCTTCGGCGGGCAGCGGCATGGAGGAGGTGCGCGTGTCGGTGCTGACCCCGCTGAAGCTGGTCGGGCTGGTGTGCATCTTCCTGGCGCTGTGCCTGGACCTGGGGGCCGTGCTGAGCCCGGCCTGGGTCACGGCCGACCACCAGTACTACCTGTCCCTGTGGGAGTCCTGCCGGAAGCCCGCCAGCCTGGACATCTGGCACTGCGAGTCCACGCTCAGCAGCGGTGAGGCCCGGCGCGACCCCCGCCCCGCGCGACCCCCGCCCCGCGCGACCCCCGCCCCGCGCGACCCCCGCCCCGCGCCCCTCGGCCGGGACGCACCCCACCTCCCGCCTCTTCTCCCGCCGCCTCTCCCGCCCTGCTGGCCAACCCGCCCCGGCGCCCCTCTGCCCGGCGCCCACGCGTCCCCGGGCCCCTTCCCGGCGGGCACCCCTGCGGCCAAGTCCACGCCCGCTCCCTCCTCGCGTGGCCATTGCTCCCACTCGGGAGTAACACGTATGCCACTTTAGTGCTCTGTCTTTCCCGGCCAGATCCATGTGTTCGCGGAGATAGATGTGCGCAGCCTTAGGAAGCCTCCACGCCTGATTCTGTTTTGTTCTGAAATGGGACGAGCGGGGCCCAAACCTCCCCAACTGCGCCGAGCTGAGTGGCCCAGTCTTTCCCGCACTGTTCTCTCCCCGGAGCCCTTTGCCCGAGGTTAACCCTTCGAGCCCACGTCTGCGCCTGCTTTACTCCACCGCATCTGCCTTTTCCCCAGGGAGTCTCCATTTGAGTTGTATTTCCTTACATATTTGGGGGATATGAGGGGTTGGGATGGAAGTTTAATTTTCTTTCCTTTTTTGGAGACACCATCGCTGGTTGTGAGTTGCCCTTGTTTTTCAATCTAAGTAACTCCTCTTTCTTCCCAGACCATTCTTTTCTCCGTAAGCTACTCCCAGATGCCTAGAAACTTGTGCTGTATTCAGACAGCACTGAAAAGCTCCGAGCGGATGGGATGGGGCGGGCGCGGGAAGAGGATAGAGAGGAAAGTAGGCTAGGGGTTTTGTGCCCTGAACGGGCTTTCTGACCGTTCAATTACCTTTCCCAGCGCCCTAGTTTTTGCCCATATCAAAATCTTCCGATTTCTTGCTACAAACCCAACTTCCGATTCCTTACTATAAATCGTTTCTCTCTGTAATCTTAACTCTTAAGCTCCTGCTGTCTGCGCAGAGAATGGGAAATAAAAAGAGATGAGCGCTGCTGGTTTTCTACACAGACACACACTCACACACCTGAGAAACTCATTTAATTTCTTTGTGACAATTCCATGACTTTTCCAGGACTATTTATAAAGCTTCATTGGCAACGTTTCAAGTCCCTGCGGAGTTGAAATAGCAGGAAAAGCCACAAAACTCTGATTTTTCCTTTGTTTGGTTTCTTGTTTAAGAAGGATTGTTTAACCCGGCTAAGTTTCTTCTGTAACTTTCATTTTGTGTGCACGAAAGGTATTTTTTTTTTTCTCCTTTTATATTCCCTCAAAATTCCCATTGAAAGATTTCATCTTTGTTGATTAATTCCCTGTGGAAGGCGCTGGTTGGCAGCAGGAGGTCAACGTTTAGGTCTTCTCATTCTTTCAGGGTTAGTTGTTTACAACTAAAGATAAAATAAATCAGTGAAATGCCTTTCTTCAGTAACCAGGGGATCCAAATAAACTTTGGAGAAAATATCTTTTCTTTCCCCATCTGCAATAGAAATGGAAATTTATGTAGGAATGCCAGCTTCTGTAGGTCTCCTTAGCAACAGGAATCTTTTGCCCCTTTTTCTCTGTCTCAGGAAATAATAGCCCTCTGATTGCATAAAGACTTTTCAGATAGGTTGGAAGAACCAGCTTCAACTCTGATTTGCTTTTCACCGGGTATCCTTTTCTAGTGGCCAGGAATGTGGGGGAGACGCCAGCTACGGTTTGTTGAGCAGTATGCAGTGTTTGCTGATCTTTTCTTAATTGTCTCCATACCCATTTCTTTCTGTGTATGTGTGTGTTTCTTTTCTTTTCTTTCCTTTTTTTTTTTTCTGCCTCTCAAGAAAGAACTGGGAACACTGGAGCTTAATGCAAATACAGTGCAACTATGACTGCCAAGCAAAAAAATCATCACAGGCAGGCACAGCAACTAACCGCTTTCCCTCTTCCCTTTGACATGTGCACACCCTTCATTTTCCCCCTTGCTGAAATTCACATTTCAGCATCCATTTCTATTTGAATTTCTGAGCAATCAGCATTACTCCTATTTTGCTTAAAGATCAATTTTCAGTCCAGAAGAAGTAGAGTTATTAAGCAAATGGATGAACAATAGAGATTTCTGAAAGGCTGTTTGTAACTACTTCTTGACTTTCCCATTATGGTAGCAGTTCATTTTGGCTCTGTTGTGATGTGGTGGAGGGTGAAAGAAGGTAGTAAACTGGGAAGAGTGGGGGATGCTCTGAATCCTCACTTTCTTAAACTTGTTATGTGGAATTGAAGCTTCTCTCCGATAGTGTGTTGAAGGAGGGGGGAATGCCTGAATCGAAACCAGCAATGCTTTTCTTGCCTGTTCCAAAAGACAGGCAGCTTTTCTCCATCTGTTGGCTGTGTGGAGTAGCAGAAAACAGGGAGGGAAATGTCTTTTGTGAAGATCTGAAGAGATCCACTTGATGTCTCTCCAAATGAATTACCCTGGGAGAAGCCATTGAGGACAGTTGTACTGTAGGCCCTTCACCAGGATCTTCAGGGCTTAATTAAAAACCTTTGTCTTAATTAGAATTAAACATGCAGTGAAGAGGCAAGCTTGTATTTACAGAAGGAAAATTTCAGGAATGTTTCTATTGATGATTGTGTGTTCTACTTAGGCCTAGTTTCCACTGAAACTTGCCCCTAAGCCATTACTTTTAAACTTGCTTTTTAATTTTGGGACCGAATATGCATCGTTGGCTGTTTATAACCCGTTTTATGGTTTTAAACAAAAGCAGAACCATGCCTCTTGTGTCCTGGTGTATTGAAGGTGGCGTCAGCACTTCTAGTAGGAACCAGTAATCCGGTTGTCAGTCAGCTGTAATGCTTCCCTACTATGTCCCGATTTAGTGTATGGGGAGAACCCAGGCACTTTTCAGAAGTTACATTTTTAAAAAGGAAAAAAAAGGAAAGCAAATGAGAAAACAGCTAATTGTCTACTCTGAAAGCAAACAAGCAAAAAAGTGTGCTTGTCGGGAAGTTTGCAATATGCTATACTTGACCAGCTACAAAATTTCTTTTTAATAGTAGTCTTCCCTAGTACTATTTTAGGTAGCCATTTAATAAATGTTAAATCGTAGTCAAAGTAGTACCAATGTTTTAGACCCCTCCTTAGTCATATTTTTTCCTACAGTGTATGTTCAGTTTTACTGCCATAGCATTTATATGAGAATGATTTCTAGAAATCATTTACCTGTATTCAGAATGCTGATGCCTTAAAATGTGCTATATAACCTCTAAATAGTGATTTTTTTACATTTGTTCTTTAAAATTGATAAATATGTAACTATGCTGTTTAAGGGAGATTGCTTTTTAATCTCTAAATCTTATGGACTAAGCAAAAGCAAGAACATACAAATGACCAAGTAAGTGCATTTTAATGACAATAATTTGGTGATATAATAGGTAGATTAATCCATCTTTCCAGCCACAAGATCCTTGATCAAAAAATGTCTTTTTCAAGGAAAGATATAAACATCATATGTTTACTTTTCCTATAAATAGCTACATTTGTAACATGAATCAGTGATACTTTTGAAATGGCACTGTGCTGTATGCTAATAACAATTGAGTATTATTTCCAGTTTAAAAAGAATTTTTAAGTGTTTTTTAGACAAATCATTTTTTTAAACTTTCAAACAAAAATCCACTTGAAAAGGTTTTCAAGGAGAAGTCATCTTAGTTTGTAATTTAAGATAAACAAAGTGAACATTGACAAGTCTTTAAAAAAAAAAAGACATGTATCATCTGTGCATATTTTTAATTTACCCTTAATTAGGAAGCAATTCTATTGAGAAACTTCATTTTTTGATTTGCTCTTGGGAAGACTCAGCTTGGTTCTTCGAAGGAGTTGATATTGATGCATGTTTACAAATAGTTCAGCAAGCCTGGGAGCCACTACAGTTATACCCACTTCTGGCTTTCTTGGAAAGAACATGGGCTTTTAAAAATTCAGTTTCATTTAACCTATAGAGCATAGACACTTTGAGGTCGCACCGCACCTGTCTCAGTGACTGAACCAGAGAAGAACAAGGTATTCATGATTTTTTTTTCTAGCCTGTTCCAAATTTTCAAGTCTGCCATATTTACCTTTGCAAAAGATATTTATGTTCATGGACATATATAATTCCTCTTTTATTCATATTCATGGATGAATTATAATCCTTAGGGAGCCACTTAATCGTTGGCAGCTAAGTGATTCTATTTATGTGAAAAGCCTGGTCTTGAATAAAATATTTCAAAACAAAACTAACATAAACAAGCGTATGTCAAACAATAGCTTTTACCTGCTGTCAGAAACACATTTCAGGAATTTCCTCAAAGTGTCTGTTTTAGAAGGCAAGCCACTTGGACCATAGATAGAGACGGTGCTCTTAGCAGTATTACTAAAAGGGATGGTGACATTATGAAGTAAGTGTAATGCATTACCTGGATATGAAAGCAAATATCTCTGTAAACATCATTAAGTCACAAAATAATCCTGTCATAGGGTAGAGTAGTATTGTAGAGAATGGTGGAGACTTTGACTTCTAATTCACTTGAACTTAACCACTTCCCAGTCATGTGCCCTTGTGCAAGATAGTATCTTCTAGTGGCTTGCCTCAGAGGATAAATAAATGAAGCATTTTATTCTCCCTTACTTGAATACAGCATGATATTGTTTTCAATAATTGATACCTTTTCCCCTGATTTGTAAAACTTCTTTGCATTGTATAGTAACATATCATGTTTATCTAAAATTTGAATTTTGATGTATATTAGCAAACATTTGACAACACTTTTGATAGAGTAGGAGCGCAAAACTGTTATCCAACACCTACCAGTTATTCAGTCCTTACAGTCTAGATGCCTTGGTTATTTGCAGAGACAATAAACGTGCCAAGTAGGTAATGCTGTTGCTGGGCATTATTGAGGAGATCAAGGATTGTTTAGCATTACCACAACCTCAATAAATCTGTAGGAGAGATGTGTTGTAGTTAAT